AGAACCAAGACGGAAGAATGAGGACACTGAAGAAGCTCAGAGAAGACGAAAGCAAAAAGCTAAGAAGAGAAAACAGCAAATGCAGCAAAAAATTGAAGAAAACAAGGTAATTCAATGGTGTATGAAATGAATAAGAAGTTAAAAAGCTATGTTTACTGCCAAGTTGTTGTTAAAATACATGTCTATGTGAGTGGGTGGACACATTTCATGGGTAGGCCTGCCATCAATCAATCACAATTATAGTACTATACACTGATAATTAGAATACCTAAAGTGAACCAAGTTTTCATGGCAAAGGAGATGCTGATTTGTATAACTCACTAATGATAAATTTCACTTTGCTTAGACACAAACTGTGAAGAAACTGCTGGATAGGGAAGCTACAAGATCACGCAAAGAGGAGGAGAAGGTAAAGCTTATGAAAAATTTGCATGCCTTATACAAGCCAAATTTTTGGCCAAATTTTATGCCAAATTTATGGAAACTGTCCTTAACTGTTCGCTAAATTGATAGGTTAAAGGTACAGTTACTGACAACTTGTTATCCTCACCCAAGTTTATAAAAGTAACTCCCATATCAACACAGCTCTATTTTGCAGCCAATCTAGTGTCACTGTGAATTGTTTTTCAGTGGACCTAGCCCTGAGTGCTTGAGATAAATCTTTTCAAGAGGTGTTTGGCACTGAACCAAACAGTTGGGCTTTCCTTGAAGGCAACTGCTCAATACGCTGTTTTTCTGCAGGCACGTAAAAAGAAGCAGGAGGTTCCTCACATCAGATATGTCAGTAATTACCAGGGATTTGCTATGTCCTTTTCAACTGGGCTGGAGTTCCCATTACAAATGCAGTCATCTAAGGGGTAGGTATTAAAATTGGAAATATAATAATGATGATAATGATAATAATACTAATAACTTATGATTATTATTAGCATTAGTAATATTCATATTAAAATTATAATAATTGCTAATATTTATTAAATTTTAAACTCCAGACATTGCATTTCTAGTGTTCTGATTGGTTCACTTAGCTGTGGTTATTAGCTCATATGCTGAATCACTCTATGTGGAAAATGATAAACTTTTGGCTGGAAACAAACACTTCCTGTGCATTGTGGATAATTTATTTAATAAAACAGTTTATCTCTGTTTAATACAAGATAGATTATAGTTAACTCTGGGCTATGTGCTTTTTTTTAGCACTGTAGTCAGCTAACCTTTTGGAAAATTTTTTTCAGGCCTCCAAAACCAAGATCAACGTGCTCAGCTCAGGGATGTACAAATCTGAAGAAATACTCATGTTCTAGTAATAATCTGCCAGTTTGCAGTATGGCGTGTTACAAGAAGGTTCAACTCATTCCTCGGCAAACGGCAACCGTAGTCTAACCAGGCAAGATGTAATGGGGTGCTTTTCAATTCAGTGTCATAGAACCAAAGCCAAGTAATCACAATGGCCAATCAAAAGAAAGTAAAATACCTCAAAGAGCCAATGAGAACTCAAAGTAAAAAAAAAAAAAAAAGAAAACAATGCAAGGTGGGGAAAATACAGGTGACCAAATTGTGGTTAGTTTTAGTTTTGTATCTGATTGGTTGAAAGAGTGGCATGAGTATTTTAGACCAATCACAGAGCAAATTAAGGCAAAAGCAAAACAATCTGCATTTCTTTTGACACTCAATTCAAAGTGGTTCTACCAGCAATCATTATGTTAAGGATTCCCTGCAATTAATCCACTCAATGCTATTTTGGGAAAGTTGAATTTCATTTGAACAGGTTCAGATTGTACCTCAGGAACAAGACTCAATAAAGCTCATTTAAGATTAAATCTTTTATTTTTGAGTTACAGATTTCTGAGGTCCTCTTGGTCCTTCTCACACAGTCTATTATTTATTCATAGTATTAAATTAATGCCAATCTGATACAAAACATAAAACCTAATGACAAGAATGATCTTACTTGTACTAGTTTGGTGTGAGTAATTCTTTCATTAATAGGGCTGCATTATTATAAGACTGCGGCCAGACATTCCATAACTTAACACCTGCACCTTTTTTTTATTTTCTATTTAGTCTTAAATCCAACCTTCATGCACAACAGTACGTTAAGTTTGTCAACTAACACAAATAAAAAAGCTTTCTGCTGTGATTTGCTCTGCACACTAGCACCACAAACTGTACATTAGATAATGTGGTCTTCAGAACAAAATTCGTATGTACAGCAGATAACACTCAGTTATTATTCTCTAATATAGCAAAACAGGAACATTTCGTATTAGTATGTATAGATATGTAGCCCTTACTGAGAAATTTGTTACAGCTTTTCCTAAAATAATTTTTGAAGTTAAAAGAATGTTTTGTTGTACAGTACATCAAGATATTATATGTAAAAGTCATCTAATGACACTGTCTACTTGTCATTCAAACACTTTGTTTCTTTTTAAAGATTGGCATCAAACCATACACTGAAAGAATAAAAAAAAGAGAAACATCTTTGGTCAACTTCACTGTTTCAAATACTAAAATTATTGGTCAAATTTCTGAATGATCTTTGTATTACCTTGTCCTTATACAGTTTTAATGAATACACAACCTACAGGTTACCCCCCAAAAAACCAAATGTTTTCCAATGTGGTGAAGCCTAATTGACATTTTAAGCTGGCTCAAACTGCCTGGTGTCTTATTAGGGCAAGTTGACGTTATAAGATTGTGATAATTTTTATTCCACCCCTACCCCCACCCCAGTACCCCCTAGGTACACGTTTCTTTCTCTCCTCAACCTTCCACTGCTATTAAAATCAAAGAAAATACCAAGCACTTGCTTGTGCAAATTACACTTGCTCTGCAGGCTAGCCTGATGTCTGTAAGGTGAGCTCTCTGGAGACTGAGGAAGGGGGCCTTTTCCCTGACCACCTCTAATTGGCTACCTCATCAATCACCACATCACCATTACGCTTTGTAAGCTTTTAGACCATATGCAATGGTCCCTGCACCATACTTGCAGTAAAATCCTTTCCTTGATACACTGCTTTCCTTGCACAACATGCAGGCATTTCTCAATTGCAAGACAAGCTTAGCTTGGTAAAAACTTGAGGAGGAAGGAAATGGAGAGGGAGAAATCATGTTAAATTGAGGAGATGCAATTTGCGTTGGGGTTCACCCCCCCCCCCACCTCCTTTTCCACCCAAAAAAAGAATAGTCCACCAGATTTTTTAGCATCATTCCACCCAAACATTCCACCTCTCACACAACAAGAAAAACAAGGCGTTGCCCAAGCTTTAAACTTCCAAGTCCAGCTATAGCACCTTTAAGTTTAGAAGTTATGTTGTCTATAGCAGAACATGCAAAATGTAGTTACCACTCTGTGAATGCAATGTCATTGGGATGTCTTAGAATTATTTCCTTGACTTCCTCAGGAGGGAAAAGTCCATATTCTTTAGCTCGTTCCCATCTTTGTAGTCTGGTTATTCCTAAACATAAACAGGAAAGCTCATATGCTTAGATAAGCTACAAACAATATTAAATTATCAGACACAACAACTAAATACATAGACAGCAAATGTTCTATGGGTTTGAAAATTGGTTGTCCAAATCGTTAGGCTGAATAACTTTGAGACAGCTTACTTTCGACGGAAACATTGCAATTCAAGAGTTTAGAAGAAAGACAACAGCCGAGAAGGAGACTGGGCAAGATGCACAATGGAGAAGAGAAAATCTGTCAGCCAAAAGTAAAACAAGCTAAGAAAGTGGCTAGTCCGATGAAGGAACTAGCACCGCTGAGGAGTGATTAAGAATTTTGAAACTAACACAAAGATTTCAACTTACCAATGCATGGCCCAAATTCGGAATCCAAGTCAAATTCTTTCAGCATCAAAAGCTCTTTGGCAAGGTCTGAGGTTACATCTTTGCAAATGGCAGTTTCAGCATCTACAAGAACGAACATTCAAAACAGAAGTTAAGACCTTTAAAAAAATATTTAGGAAACAAAGAGGGCATGAAGAGAGACTAACCTTGCTGAATTGGATCCGAAAGCTTCGTTTGCGGCTGTTTTTTGTTGACCGGCCTTTCTTTCTTGGTTATAGGAAACACATCTGTGATCAGTTTCGATGCCATATTGTCGTTGTATCGTTTGAAGACAGAAACAGCTGGGAGAGGGTAGAGTACTAGGACGAGCGCTCTGATTGGTCAAACCGGCACACAAACGCGCGCAACTAAGCGACAGGGAGCGACGGGTAAATTGCAAAATTTGGACGCTGAAACGCGAGACCTCGGATCTGGAATTCCTTGCTTACACTAATGTAAACTTTGACTAATTTAGCGTTTAATAGATGGATTTTAGGAAATGAGGCATTGAGGTATTTCAGGCATATTCTCCGATTGAGAAGTAGTTGGGCATATTTTACTAGCACTCGTGGAAAAATGGGTTTCGACGCAGATGGTTGTTCTTGAGCTAAAGTTTCACGGATGAGACATATAACTGAGACTCAAAATTACATATAACTACTGTGTTTTCTTTTACAGAAAACCCCAGATAATTTTCCATATAAACACCGCTCGAATATTGTAAATAGTAGTTCTAGATTAGGGCAATTCATGCACACGCTTTACACAAATGGAACAATTGCCCGGCGTTATTTGCCGCAAAATTTCGCTGCCTGTGGTCTGAAATTGAGCCTTTTCAAGGCGATGATACGTTAAATCTTACCAGCGAGTTATCCTACAATTTTTCTGGCGTAGACTTATCTGCAGTGTTAATCTTAAAATGCATTCGAATCTTCGCGGGAAATGGGCTCATGTACTCTCGTGTGCAAATTTAGAAATTTTGCCTTCCGCTCTCAACCAATCAGATTCAAATACTTCTTGGATCAATCAGTGTAAATCTTGTCACTGATTACCGTTGCAAACGCTGTAAATAATAATAATGAAAAAGACTTGCTAGATCCTCTAAGAAAAAACTCCTAATGGTACCTAAATGCAATCTTAAAACATTGGGATATAGAGTACTCTCTCATAGAGCTCCTACTCTGTGGAACGCCTTGCAGGACGATATTAGGCAAGTGGACCTTTTAACAACATTTAAGTCTAAACTTAAAACCAATTTATTTAGGCAGTTGTAGTTTTTGCTTTCATTAATTTTTCACTAGTTTTTTTATTCACTTTAATTCTTAATTGATTATGTTTTTCTATCACTATCATTGTAAAGCGCCGCTGGATCTTTGAGAAGCGTTGCTCTGTATAAGCTATGTATTGTATTGTAAAATATATAAGTGCAGTTACTGTTCTTAGGATATATTTTTGCAAATGATTTGCACTACATGAAGACTTAAAATAATTCTAAGTGAGGCCTCAAGTAGCACTCATTAGGCAAATATTCAATGGCATTTAACCATAATTTACAGTTGAGGTTAAAAATTTTACACACGACAATGGCAATTTGTAACTTTTCCCTCCTTTACTTTCTTTTTATTGTTGATGAAATCTGAGTTTAATTAAATATCATTGTGATAGCAAAAATGATGAATTCAGATTAAAAACGAGCTACATCATTATATCACTTCATTTCAGTTGTATATACTTAGTATCTCTGAATTGGAAACATTTTTGAGTTGTTACAGAAAGTTAATAAATAAAAACATATGTAAATGAATCAAGTTTGTAAAAACTTAAAAATGTTTTAAATTAATTTTATTCCACTGCATAACACCCACAAATACCAATGTACACAACTGTCATCTGACTGTTGACAGTCAACTTGGTTGAAACAGCTTTTCTTCTTTGACAGAACACCTAACATGACACAGATTTTCAAAGGGTTACTTAAAAAGTGCCTTAAGCTTTTCTTTATCATCTGCATTATGTTCTTTAATAAGTTTTTCAAGTTCATCCAGTTCTTTCTTCACAGTTTTTGTTAGAGATGGGTCAAGAGTAGCTGCCCTGTTGAAATCTTCCTTGGCTTCCTGAGGGTTCCAGCACTTCACATGAGCTTTAGCACGTCGATATAAAGCCTTAACATTGTCCTTATCCTTTTCAAGTACTGTGGATGTGTGCTCAATAACTTCATAGTAATCCCCAAGAAAAAGCTTACACTGGGCATAGTTTAACAAGAAAGGGATCTTCATTCTGTCAAGCCTGAGCCAAGGTTCATCACCTGGTTTTTCATGCAGGCAAAGCTGCTCTAGACATCCCAGAGCCTCTGCATACTTGTCTGCTGCTTCTTTATATTTTTTCTGTTGATATAATTGGTTCCCAATTTCCTTTAACTCTGGTACATTAGTCAATTTTTCATCAGCGTCCATCTGCCATGTTTCCTTTTGGTATTCACCAGGTTTCTCATATTTCAAAAGCTCAATTTCAAAGATAAGATCTTGTTCATTGACCATCAAGTCATCCAAGTCAGGATATCCAGTTGATTTCATGGCAGACAAACTACAAGAATGTTCATGATGATCATGTTCCTCTGTTATCTCTCCTTTTGCCTTTTTTGCCAGTGAGCGTAGACTCTTGGCAACTATAGGATAGCCCCCTACAAGCTAACAACAGAAAAGTCAGTTAAAACTTCACACACTTACATCAGTATGCATGTTCTACATACTGTCCTCTGTACATTTCCTAAGGTGCTGACAAGGAAAATTTTGTTTAAAAACCATGAGCTTCTTTAGTTGGTGATCATTTTCTTTATTCCCATGACCTTAATGTGTGATTTAGGGGTGATAATGAAAGGAGAAATTAGATGCTAGTCACTCTTAATGTGCTTATTACTGCTCAATTTTATCCTTGGTTCTGTTGATGTATTTGGTAAAATTGAACCACAACAGGAGCATAAATCTGTGACATATCTAAGCCCTATCTTAGGTCCTAACAAGGATTAAATCCCAAATTGAATGCGTTAAATGCAGTCTCTGGTTTAAAATCCAAAGTCAAGGTGTTTTGACAAGTTGATGTGGTTTCCTATACTAAGTTAGCTAAAAAATAGGTGCACCAATAATTGGACATTTTGTTTATAAAAAATAATATCATCACTTAATAAAAAGAACTCTTCGCCAAAGTAGAAAAGTCGTGAACAGGTGTGAGCTACCTTGTATAGACTTAATTTAAAGTGCACCTAAACCCAAACTTTTTTTTTCACTTAACGAAATAAGCACATTTTTTGGAGTATTTCTGTGCAAAAATTTTTTTATTTGCTCAAATCTTCAATTTTCTGTGCCCAGTCAAACTACGGAAAATCGGCCGCCATCTTGCCCCACGACTGAGTTTAAAGAGGAATGGCTCTAGCAGGTAATGTGACGTCAAATCGAGAACACGAAAGTCTGCATTTCACGCATTTTCACTTGTTTGGGAATGTTGTAGTCAATATTGTCCGAAAATATACCGACTAAGTGTGTTGTAGAAGGATGTAGCAATGTGCGAAATTTGCAAGAGGGTATCGCGCTTCATACATTCCTCATACAACACACATAGTCGACATATTTCGGACAATATCGACGACAACCTTCCCAAACAAGTGAAAAT